CCCAGCTTACCCAGGAGAGTTAACCAAAAAAAAAAAAAAAAAACCCGCCCGAGTTATGAAACAGCGGCGGGGGCGGTCACGCACGCCGAGGGGGCAGCCAGCTGCCCGCCTCCGCCCCCCGCCCGCGTGCGGGGGCTAATGTCAAGGTTAGCTCACGTGGGCGCGGGCGCCCGGAGCTCCTGGCACGAGCGTGGGGCGGGTTCCTCGTCCCCCAATCTAGGGCAGTTTGTTCAACTGCAGTAAAGGGAGCTTGATGTTCCAGCAGGGAAAGGATTTCTGAGAACTGGGGCTGTCCTCAGATGAACTCGCCTCCTCCGGCTGCGGCGGCGGCCGCCTGCGCAAGACTTTGTTAAAGGGGCGATGCCAGGCCCGGGCGCGCGGCCCCAGTGGCTGCTCTGCCGCCCGTCCGCGGGGGCGCTCGGCGCGGGGCGGCTCCGGCGCAGGGGCCGAGGAGCTAAACTTGTCCTGCTGCCTATGCAGGAACGGGTGGCCTTTCTGCTCCGCCGAGGAGCGGGCCGGAGAGGGGCGGAAGGCTGCCCAAGTGGGGCGGGAGCGAAGTAGGGCGTCGGGCGAGTTTCGCGCCAGCCGCAGCTCCCCACGCCCTCTGGGCTGTTTTCTGTCCCTGGGGCCTCGGGCGCTGCACCAGCTCGGATCCTGACTGCGTTTCCGATCCCGCCGTGGTTTGGAAGCCCCATCCCTTCAGCGCCGCCTCTCTCTCTCGCCCCGCAGTGCGCGCTCTGGCCGCGCACTGGACATCCTCCCTGACCACCCCCCCCCCCCACCGCTTTGGCTAAAATATGCTGGCTTTTCCTCACCCCTGCCCTGGGTGCCTAGGTGGGGTGGCTGAAGCGGGGAGGGCCGCTCGGGAGTGGTCTGGCTCCAGCCCAGAGCCAAGGCCGACACGTGATTCCCTTCCCGCAGCGAGCCATCTGTTCTCTTCCCGCAGCGAGGCTGGCGCTCGGGCCCAGCCCGGTCCACGCCTCCCAGCAGGAACGGGTGAGAACAGCCAGTAGTGGCAGGACCCACACCGGGCACCCACATCCACGCCTGCTCCCGCCTGCCCCTCTAGGGCTTTCCTCTCCGAGTTTAGAGTTTTGAAAGGAGACTGTGCAGATGTGTGGGTCCTCCATCCCACCCACCTGCAGATGCAGAAGTGGCTGGAGCTCGCTACGTTCCTGGCAGACCCAAAGAAGCCCGTTCCCCACACTGCTCAGCACTTGTCCACTCTCTCCTCCTGAAAAATGAGGATTCTGGATCCTGGCCACAAGCCCATAGGCCATTATTCTTGAGATCTTGACTAATTAAGCAAAGGTTGAGTCAGGGCTTTGAGAAAACACACACACACAAGAAGCATGACCAGGGGCCGATTTTTCTGCTGCTTTCAGTTGGTGTCATTTTGAAAAGCAAACCTGTTTTATGTGATACAGGCTAGACCTGTACATTATTTTATTTCAGGATGATTCAGATTAATTTCAGATAATCTGTTTTGCCAAAATGAACCAGGACACATCTTACCAGCCTGGCAAGACAGTGTAAGCTGGTTTCAGCCAACAAGCTGTTGCCGACACAGGGAAAGAGTGGTTGTTGAAGAGGCAGTGGAGCTCCCTGGAGGGGGAGTTGGTGCTGGGGAGATGCGCTACTTTGTACACACAAGCCTCATGCATAGACCTGGTTCCTTTCCATATTCCTCCGCCCCAAGTTCATTGCCAGGAATATGAATATCTGGAGAATGAGTGATTGGAAGGGAGAGAGTGCTTCAGTAAATCTAGAATTGTTGGGTTTAAAATGTGATCCTGCGTGGCCACCAGCGTTCCATATGAGCACCAGTTCAGGTTCTGGCTCCTCCACTTCTCATCCAGGTCCCTGCCGCTGCACCTGGGAAAGCAGCAGACGATGGCCAGGTGCTTGGGCCCCTGCACCCACTGGGAGACCGGACGGAGCTCCTGGCTCCTGGCTTCAGCATGGCCCAGTCAGGGCCATTTGAGGAAGCGAACCAGTGGGGGAATGCTGAACTCTGCTTCTAACCCTGCCTTCCATACAAATGCAGTGTTGAAAAGGAGAGATGCGACGTCAGCACTTGTGTTTGTCAATGTAAACATGTGGATGAAGTACCAAGTGTCTCTTACTACAACTTTAAAATGAATGGGTCAGATAGTTCAAGGTTTATATCCAGTCCACACAAAGGGCAATTAAAGGGAATTAAAGAGAACAGGCGGTAAGGGAGGGGTAAGGAGGCTGTGCCGGTTTTGTTGGGATACCAGCCCAGCCCTCTGGCTGGATTTGCCCCTGGCCATAAAGGGCCAAGCACGGTGCAGCTTCCCAGTGACCCTGTGGCCTACCGGGTGAAATTTGTCTCAGAAAATGCCCAAGGGCTTTGAGGGATTCTTTGCTCAAATGATGGCAGGGAAAATGCAAGAAGTCCATGATGGGCCCCAGCACAGTGGCCTAGTGGCTAAAGTCCTCTCCTTGAACACCCAGGATCCCATATGAGCGCTGTTTCTAATCAGCCCCGCTTCCCATCCAGCTCCCTGCTTGTGGCCTGGGAGAGCAGTCCAGGACGGCCCAAAGCTTTGGGACCCTGCACCCGCTTGGGAGACCCAGAAGAGGCTCCTGGCTCTTCGCTTCAGGCACAGCACTGGCCATTGGAGCCATTTGGGGAGTGAATCATCAGACGGAAGATCTTCCTGTCTATCTGACTTTGGACAGGCCACTGTGCAGTGAGCCCTCCTGAAGGGGCCGAGACAAGGTGGTGCTGATGTTGTGTGTGGACCACGCGCCCCTCTCCTCCTGCTCCGTGCCACCGCCTTCCAAGCTTCACCTAAGGATGACGTCAGAACAAACCGCTGCATCCTTCTACATCAGAATTTAATCTCTGGGCCTTCCAGGACGACCACGAGCCTGCTTCTTCTTACTAACATGAACGATCTGCATGGCCGCAAAGCAAGCGCCCCTCGCACAGCAAAGCGCATGTTCCTGTCCAATGTGACGACGCTCTAGCTCCTCCTCGGGGACCAGTGCTGCGGCACACTGTGCCAACACCTGCAGCAACCAGCATGCCATATGGTGCCTGGCTGCTCCACTTTCAATCCAGCGCCCTGTTGATGTCTGGGAAGGCAGTGGGGAATGGGTGGAGTCCTTGAGCCTCTACCCACAGCACTGACCCATCGCAGCCTCCTGGCTCCTGGCTTTGGCCAGTCCCAGCCCCTACCACGGAGGCCATTTGCAGGAGGAACCAGCAGGTGGAAGATCTGTCTCTCTACCTTTCAAATAAATTAATTTATTCATTTTTTAAAAAAAGAATGACAAATACTGCAAACAAGTTGCAGCATTTCCTAGAGGGAATCAGACTCCAAGCCCCACACCAACTGCTGCTCAGGTCGTGTTCAATGGCGAGGCTCTCTGGCGGTTTCAGGTCCTAAGCCTCTGTCTAGCACAGCTAATATTTCACAAAACCAAAGGGCTCGTTTGCTGTAATCCACCTGGTGAGCAAGACAAGGCGCCACTCCGTGTCTGTCTGCATCGCTAAAGCAAGGGACACGCCCTGACACGTCGTCTGTGTGAAGCTAGACTAAAACAGCGCTATTGACAAACGATTTATTTAGAATAAATGACACCGAAAAAAGAGGGATTAGAGCTGTGGCTGAAGCAAAGAGAGGGGTTACACTATAAGGCTAGCGCAACGGTAGAAAAGACTGCCTTAAAGCCGGAACTCGAGTTAGTTCTGAATTCCTAAAAATGACAGGGGCGTGTTTAATGTATCAGATGGAAGGGTTGCTCAAAATGTGGGCCCCAAACTCCGCCGCATCTCGGGAGAATCAAATCCCAAACGACAGCGGTGCTTCCTCGCCGATGGTTTTTCCTCTGGGCAAGCGGTGCCAACAGACACAGTGCGAGGCAGGCGCACGCCGCACGTCTGCACGCCTGTCCTCCGGGCGGACCTCAACTTTACTAGCGGCCACGCCAAGTGCACCGGCTGCGGCGCGCCTCGGAACGCTCTTCCGATTGGCCGAGCCCAGGCCAGTGACATCAACCAACTTACTTTTCATTGGAAGGCGGGTTGCTGGGACTGTAGCGTTAGCAGGAAGTCACTTAACTGTTTGCGAGCTGGAAACCCTCAAGTCCAAGTTTTCTCTCTATCTCGCTCTCTCTCTCTCTTTTCATGTCCCGGCAAGGCACGTGACTGACTAAGCAGGATGCGTCCCCCAAGCTCGGCCAGACGCACCGGGAGCCAGCGGGCCCCGGCCCACCGCCCCGAGAGGCGCTGCCCGAGACGGGGGCGGCCGCTCCCTGGCTGTTCCCCTTTTAAATGTGGGCGATCGGGGCTGTAGGGGCAGCACGAGGCGCCGAAACGGAACAGTCGGATTGGCCGCGCGCCTGGGCGCTGGACGCACCTCTCCTCCGAAAGGGCCTCCTGACTGGCAGGGGGAGAAAGTAAACAGAGTTGGATCAGCCTCCCCGCTGGCCAATGGGAGGGGGTTTGGATTGTGACGTGATGGGATTCTGCGAAATTGTTGCCGAGCGAGAGAATGCCGGAACGGTGCGGCCGGGCAGGAGCCGGGGCTCGGACGGCGTCCCTGGCCTGGGGGGAACGCGCGCCTTAGGGTCTGCGCCCGGGGCGGCCCACGCCACCCGCGTCTGCGCGCTCCGGTGACGGCGCCGCGCCTGGGGCTGCACGGAGGGGGCGGCCAAGGGCGTGCGCCCCCGCTGCAGCCTGCGCTCCCGGCGCGCCTCGGGGGGCGCTTGCAGGCGAACCCGCCTGCCGCCCGCCACGTGTGGCAGCTTTCCAAGGGAGCCGGCGCGGAGGGGCGGGCGCGCCCGTCGGGGGGTGATCGCGCCCGGCGCCGGAGCCCCGGGCCGTGTGGATGCTGCGTGCGGAGGCGCTGCCGGTTACGTAAAGATGAGGGGCTGAGGTCGGCTCGGCGCTCGTGCGAGTCGGCAGCGCCCCGCGCCCCCGCCCCCTTGGCCGCCGCGCCGCGCTCGTCGTCCGAGGCCAGGGGCAGGGCGAGCCCAGCTCCGCAGCCGCCAGCGCCAAGTTTGGCCGCGCCGCCGCCACCGCCGCCCGCACCATGTCCGCGGCCGGCTACATGGACTTCGTGGCTGCCCAGTGTCTGGTGTCCATCTCGAACCGCGCCGCCGGGCCGGAGCACGGGGGAGGCGCCCCGGACAGCGAGCGGCTGCGGCGACCCGAGCGCGAGATGGTGACCAAGGAGCACGGCGAGCCGGGGGACACCTGGAAGGACTACTGCACACTCGTCACCATCGCCAAGAGCTTGCTGGACCTGAACAAGTACCGACCCATCCAGACCCCCTCGGTGTGCAGCGACAGCCTGGAGAGCCCCGACGAGGACATGGGATCCGACAGCGACGTGACCACCGAATCTGGGTCGAGTCCTTCCCACAGCCCCGAGGAGAGACAGGAGCCTGGCGGCGCGCCCAGCCCGCTCTCCCTCCTCCACCCCGGAGTGGCGGCGAAGGGAAAACACGCCTGCGAGAAGAGGCACAAGTGCCCCTACAGCGGCTGCGGGAAAGTCTACGGGAAGTCCTCCCATCTCAAAGCCCACTACCGAGTGCACACAGGTGAGCGGGCGTCGCCCTCTGCTCTCCCCCTGCGACCTTCCGGCGCGCCCGACCTGGAGGGGGCCACGTGTTGGCGGCAGCTGCTGCTTTAGCGCTTTGCAGCCACGTAGCCAGCCGTGCGGAGGCGGCAAGCTCACGCTCTCCATCTTGGTGGTCCCCAGCCTCCAGAAAGCCACCCGGAGCCCCGACGTGGCGGGCAGCGGTGCCCGCCCCCTCCAGCGGCCCGCCCCGCCCCCGGGGATTCCGCACCCCGCACCCCGCCGCGGCAGGGCCTCCCCACCCGGGAAGTCAGATGGTGCATCTTTAATCGCCTGGTGGGGATGGGGGGGCAGGCCAAGTGGCCGAAACCTGCGGTAGGAGGGGAGGGCGGAACCAGCCCACTGCACCCGAAGCCTTTTAGGGAAGGCTAAGGAGCTGGACGCCTTGCTACGCCCCGGGGCTGGCCAAGGTGGTTTTAAATTTGGCCAGGAGTCCCCTGAGAGGTTTAAAATAACCCGGCTTCAGGCAGCCGGGCAGTGCGGTCATGTCACCGTCGGAGGGTTAGCGTCGGGACTAGGTGGCCCTCCCTGCAACCCAGTGTGGCTTCCCACCGCCCACCCTCCCTCCGACAGAGGGCGGCGGTCGGCGCGGAGCTGTGGGCCTGCCGAGGGTCTGGGGTCAAGGTCCTCTGGTTCCGGAGGGCTTGAGGGTGGACTGGGGCAATGGTTGCCCCCTGGAGAGCCTGGATGTGGCTAGTGAGCCAGCTGCAGCCTGGAACAGACTGCCTCCTGGGCGCCTCGGCTCTGCTCAGCACGCACAGCCCACGGTGCAGAGCACTGGGCGGACCAGGCTGTCTTGAGGAGGCTCGGAGGGGCGTGCCCCCTTCAGGGCCAGCGCCCCTTTCCCCTTGGCGGGCGCGGAGCGGGACGTGGTGGTTGGGCTCACTTGCTCTGCTGTGGCAGGTTTTTGCTGCTTTACGGAGGCGGCCCTGGGCTTTCTGGTTTCAGAATGATGCTTTGCTTCTGCCCAGGAAACGCCACGTCGCTGTGGCTGAGCCTGTTTCCTTTGGAAAGTGGTTGTAGGGGAGATGGTTGCTGAGCACTGTATTTTGTCCAGGATGGGGCAAGGTCAGGTTCCGTTTGGCGTCACCCTCTAGGTTGCCTGAGAACAACACCTTGGAAAGTCAGGCCCAGCAGGGGAGAGGGCTGTGACCTTCTGCGGGCGTCTGGGGCTGAAGCAAGGGGGTGTATCCGCTGAGGCTGGTCCTCGCCGCCAGCCAGCTGCTGGGCAGGCCCGTGTCAGCCCTGCTCCGGAGTGGAGTGGCTCACACTGACACCCGCTGACTGCTGGAGTAAAGGCATTTTCTCCTTCAGGGAGCTGCCCACTCGTGCAGCTGGCCAGGCTGCAGTGCCTCTGTTAGCTCCGTGCTCCGACACAAGCTCTCCAGCAAGCCGGGCCATTCGCCTGAGTCTGCCCTCAGACTTTTCTAGAAATGGCTGCGTGTGTGTGCGTGCATGCGTGCTGCTCGGACATTCACCAGAAGGCAGAGCCTGCCCAGGGTGGGAAAGCAGGCGGAGTGCTCCCTCACCCTGGGGGTGGCAGGCGGAGTGTCCCTCACCCTGGGGGAGGCAGGCTGCAGCCTGGCTTTCTGGAGCTGGTAGTGGGATGGTGCCAGGTGTCTGTGGTTTGGGGTGGGTAGGGCTGTGGAGCCCCCAAGCCTGGCTGAACAGACCCCTCAGCCTCTGTAAGGATTGATCGGTGCTGGAGGGGCTGGAGGGGCGTGTGTGAAGGACTTGGCAAATAAAGAGACAGAGAGGCGTTCTCAAGCATTTCCAAGATGCAGAGATGCTTCTAGCTGGATTCCTGTTTGGGCATGGTTCCCTGATTTTCCTGCTGGTGTTAAATGCAGCAGAAGGCCCGGCGCAGCCCCTGGGAGCCGTGCTTCTGGGGGATCCTGGGAGCCACGCTCCCTCACCCGGTGTGCCCAGTGTGCCCAGTGTGGGCTCTCACCCTTCCTCAAGGCTCTGCTGCTCTGCACTCCCGAGAGAGCCCCTCACACGTGGGCCTCTGACCAGCAGCAAATCCAGTCATATAAACGCATTCCTATTTAATTCAGTCCTGTGACTTCTCCGGTCTCCTACAGTTGAGGTGTAGTGTGCTGAGTCTTAAGTGCTCTGATTTCCCAGCTGCGGAGCTATGAGCAAGCTGGAGTGCCAAGTCCACACAGGGCATGTGCCTGCTGCTGCACGTGCTGTGTGGGGTTGGTAAACATTTGTTACCAACATCTGAAAAAACCAGAGGAGTTCAGCCTGAATCCAGACTCCTGGCTTCCCGGGGAAAATGGAATGATTGGCTGTGCTGGGATTCCTGCCTAGAGTTCAGGGTCGTAGGAACTGGCCACTCTGTGTGGGATGGGACCCCTTGTGTGGTCACTGGTGTGGCAGCTGCAGTGGCCAAGCCCCCAAAGGAAGTGGACACCCTCCAAAATGCAGAGGTTCTTGTGCAAAGATGGCATGCAGGAAGCACACAGTGGGGCTCCCCCCGCCCTTGGGTCATGGGGAAAGGCCCGTGTGTACAATGCAGGGTGCCCCGGGAGTCCCGGCGAGCTGGCATTTTCCACTCATGTGTTCAGGGCCCCCTTCAGTTTCCAGGCCGGGTCTTAGCCCCCCAGAGCATGCGAGCAGGCACTAAGTGGATCCATGGTTCAGCTGAAGAACTTTCACAAAGGTACAAGAAGCACAGGCTTTCCCTGTCCCTTGCTGGATGCTTGTTTCCAACCAACATGAGGACTTTGCATAAAAATAGAGTAAGCCGGGTGTCTGAAGCAGGCTGGTGCGTGCTAAGCCTCTTGGCGTGGTAGAAGTCCTGCATGGAGTATGCGCACACCTCACAGGAAGTCACAGTGCTGACAGCTGATTAGAAGTGTCAGAGCAGGCTCGTGTGGTCACTGCTGCCTTGATGCCCCGAAACCTTAGGCCTCGGTTTATTTTCATGCCAAAGGATACTTTGTTTTTCTCTCCACTGGTGGATTTTAAGTCAACTGCTCACCCAGTAATAGGAGTGCTTGAGGATGTTGACAGTGAAGTATGCAGAAAAATCAGAAAGCCCCACGTCCCAGGCATCACACTCCAGCTGCAGGAATTTAAAAAGCCAGCAGTCCCCCAAGGACAGCAAAAGCAAGCTCTGCAGGATAGGGAGAGGGGATGACTGCAAAAGTCCCCTGTGGCTGCTCCCGCCAGATGCTGAGACCCCTGTGCCAGGAACAGGAGCAAACCTCCAAGGGTAGAAGTTGATGTACAATGTTGCAAAGGAGCAAGGAGGTGGGGCTTCAAGGGCGTGGCCAGGCTGTGCTTTGGGGCAGGCCCCAGCTGGAGGGGGCCTTAGCAGCCCCTGCCCAAGTCTTACAACCTGTTATCTTTGTAAATGCACCAGAGTGCCTTGATAATTTATTTTTTTAAGGCTTATTTTCATTGGAGACTTACAGAGAAAAGGAAAAATAGAAAGATCTTTCATCTGCTGGTTCACTCCCCCAAGTGGCTAATGCCAGGAGCCAGGAGCTTCTTCTGGGTCTCCCACGCGGGTGCAGGGTCCCAAGGCTTTGGACCATCCTCCACTGCTTTCCCAGGCCACAGGCAGGGAGCTGGATAGGAGGTAGGGCAACTGGGACACAAGCAGGCACCCCTATGGGATCCCCTAGGCTATCATGCCGGGTCCACTTTGATGATCTTAAAGTTCTCTGCCCTGTTTCCCATTCTTCTTTCCAGAGAGTTCCCACAGTGACGTAGAGTCTGACATGACGCCTGAGCCCGAGCTTGGCTGGCACAGCGTTCTCTCTGCCTTCAGCTTCTCCGTTAGCTGGTCCCTTAAGGAGATGCCCTTTCTTGTTGTTGTGCTTTGTTTCGTCCAGTCTGTCCCTAACTGCCACCTCTGCGGCCACTTTAAGGTCACGGGTGCACTGTGACCTCTGACAGTGGTAGGCCGAAGGCCCCAGGCCATCGTGATAGCCCAGACTTCATCAGGCACTGGAGAATTTTGGACACACACACACACACACACACACACACACACAGCAGGTATGTATGCTGGGATGAGGGGCATCCCATTGCTCTCCCACCCCCAGGAGGGACGTCCAGTCCCGAGTCCCATCTGAGAGCTGGGGGCTGCTTGCAGAAAGCTCTAGCTGCAACCCATACAGTCCCAAAGCACGCATTGCCTGGAGGGCTTGCATTTGGTTCCTGGTTAGGAAGCTACAGCCCTCAGGAATGTAGCTAAGCAAAGTTGGCCCCTAGCTGAGGTCTTCCCCTGAGGGTGGGACCTCCCGGAGGCAGGCGGGGCCAGGAGCTGCTGGGGTTTCCTTCCCGCAGGTTCCCCCCCCATCCCCGCCCCTACTCTCCAGGGGGCCGGTGGGGCCTCAGGAGCCTAGGCTGCTGGCTGGTTGCAGTTGCACCACAGCAAATGCGAGTCGGATGGTAGAGTTCACACTGTGTCTGAAACCTCAGGTGGGGGCTGAGATGAGAGAACTACCTGCCGTCCAGACACACCCCCACCCCCTGGGAGAGGAGGTGGCATAGGGAGGGCTGTGTGGTTCAGGTTCGGAGCCCCCAGGCACAGGGCGCAGAGGGGTTGGGTTTACATTTCTCAGCTGTGACGCAGGTCCCACGTCTGTGGGAACTTCCCAGCCGGCACTTCCCAGCGACAAGCTTGCTAGGACAGTGGGAAGGCGGCCATTGTGGCCCCGGAGAGTGGGCGCCATGACCACCTGCAGCCTTAGCGTGCTCAGCGGAGGAAAGGAAAGCGCCCTGGGTTCACTGCGCTAGCCTGCACTTCCAGATCTTCCCATTTCTTCTATCTCCCCCTCCCCTCCCATCAGGTGTGAGCGAGATGACTGTTGCCTTTCCTCCCCCGCCAGGATCCTCCCCCGCATCCGACCCTCCCACCTTCCCCTAACGTTTCTGCGAGTATGCCTATGTGGGCGCCCACTTGCAGAGCGTAAAGGAGTGCCTGGTAATTGGCACAAAGGC